ACAGAACAAGTGGCCAGTTGCCCTGGGGCCACAGAACTTCAGCTGGGATAAGAAGACTGGGACTGTTGCACACACCAACATAGCCAAGGTGCAACCACCAGCTGAAGGCAGACCTTCCAGGTCATGAGGCCTGCATGGAGCAGGGGCTGGCACGTGCCCAGATCCCAATCATAGGCCATCATGGCCCGCAGGTAACACTCGGCAGTTGCAAAGCAGCCAGAGCAGTGGAGCTGAGCCATACAGCTGTGAGCAGAAATGGTCCCGTCCCCATTCAGCAAGCTGGCCAGCAGCCGGGGCAGGAGGGTGGAGCTGTAGCAGGTCTCCAAGGAGGACAGATTGCCCCAGAAGAAGTACATGGGGGTGTGCAGATGCTGCTCTGACAGCACCTAAACAGCGATGAGGATGTGCCCAATCACAGTCATGATGAGTGACAGGAGGAAGAGTGGAGTCTGGAGTGAGGGCACATTCCCCATTCCCCTCAGCAGGAAATTTGTGGGTGATGTCTGATTCTCCTCTTCCCATTTTTCCATACAACTTTGATTCTCTTTCCTCCCCCACTTGCCAGGAAGGAGACCTGTGACAAAACACCTGCATCTTTGCGATAAGTAGAAGAACTGTGATGGACATTACTGATTAAAAAGGATTGAAAAAAAAAAAAAAAAAACAAAAAAAAACCAAAAAAAACAAAAAACAAACAAATCTCAACTGCTTTCCCTTGTTCATAGTCTATTTTTCTCTCTCCCTAAACTAAATTAAGGGACCTGGGTTCTTCAAGACAACAGACCCACTTGTCCCAAGAGCACTCCTTCTGACCACAGGGCTGACTTGCCCCATGGAGCTGCCTCTTCCTCATGCTGGAATGCAAACATCATGTGCATTTGCTCACATTTTGACATCCTGCTTTCCTGTGCTCGGGGGATTCTCAACATGACCAGAATAGCTGTTTACAACTGAGATTCTCTGTGCTCTTCCAAGGAAAACCAGTGCCATGTTTTGAAATAAATTGTTTCTGTGAAAAGATCAAGGCAGATGTCCTTTCTCAAACTGGGAGAAGGCTGAGCACAGCTCTGGGCTAGTGATCTTGGCTCTCAGAAACGCTGCCCTTCTGAGGAGAGCATTCCTGCCCTGAGCAGGCCAAGTTCTTGCATTGAGAAGGAGCAGGTCAGGAGTTACCTGCTCAGACAAAGAGACTGTTCAATGAGATCATGACAGAGAATGCTTGAGCCCACACTGTGTGTGAGACAGTAAAAGAAAAGATGAGAAACAAAGAGAAAAAAGGAAATTAAAGAAAATTATAACTGTGCATCAACCAGAAATCTCATGAGAGACTTTGTACTGGCAGGAAGGAAAATGCCAGTGAGGACCACTCACTCCCCATGCTCACCTCCTCAGCACAGGGTCCCCAGGGCTTTGGGGCTGCCCCCCTGTACATCCAGCCCAGCAGCAGGACCTGGCACAGCCAGCTGTGCTCGCAGGGCTCCCTGCTCAGCACTGCTGGGCACTGGGAGGGGTGTCCCGGGGGTGCCTGGGGCTGAGGTGGGAAAGTAGCAGGCTCAGGGCCATGGGCGATGCCCGGGACATGCCTGAGGGCACAGCCAGGGAAAGTGCCTGCCTGAGAAGCAGCATCACCAGCTGTGCTCCTTGAAATACATGGTGCTCTCAGTGTTGTCAAACCCACTTCCCAGCAGGGAATGTTTGGCTTCTGGAAGAGAGGAGGACAAACAGCTTCAGCAAAGCTGACGAGGATGAGTAAAGCCTCTAGCTCTCCCCACTGGATGAGAGAGTCTATGTCAGAAAGCTGAGGGTCTGAGCTTGTGGAATGGTGAGGAAGGGAGAGAAAAAGGAGAAAGCTGAGAAAGGACAGAGCCCTGTGGGAGGAGAAGGGCTCAGGTGATCTCGACCCAAAGACCCTGCACTGACTTTTCCCCCATCCCAGCTGAGGTGGGTGAGTGCCAGGGCTGGCTCCAACAGAGCCCAGCCCAGCTGGAACTCAGCACCACCAGCCCCTCCCCAGCATCTCTGCTGGAAGTTACTGGGTCTCAGGGTATCTGGGGAAGGAGGGAGCTGGGCTGGGGACATGTGCAGCACAAGACAGGGCTGAGACTCAGCTCTCACTCACACACTTTCACTGCACAAATACCCACAGCAAAATCAGCAGTTCCCTGACTCGGGACATCCAGCACCCACCTGCAATGCTCAGCATGAAGGGTTGACCTCTGTGCTGATGGTGCCTGGGAACAAAGACCTGGGGCGTTACTCTCTGCCTCTACCCCACCACATCTTCCCTTCTGTGTTCTCTCTGCAAACCCTGACTCAGATCTAATGCCCTGCTCTGCCCTTGCCTTTTTCTCACCACATCTTGAGATTGACATGTCAGCAGCAAAAAATGCCCCCTGCTCTGCACTGTGACCTGGAGCTTATAGCACCAACAATTCCTTCAGTGACTCAGGCACAGCTCAGCTCTCCCCAGGCACTGCAGGGAGGAAGCATTGCTAAACTAGTTCTCAAAGCAGGCTGCAACTTCTGAACTGCTGGAAAGTTTGGAATCTGTTGTGGCAAGGCCTGCCTTTCCTGACAACCCTGAGTACTTTGAACTCCAGGTGAGGCTTCTTTAGAAAGGAGACTCAGGCAAGGAAATCATCAGGATTCAGCAAAACTCCTGACAGAACCCCATAAGAGTTACCCAGAGTATAATCTCCATCACCTCCTTGAATTAGACACACACTGGGCTAGTTTTTCAAAACCAGACTTTTAAAGTAACAATACAATCTAAGTACCTCACTGCTGAGATACAAGTTTCAAAGAGAAACAAAAATTAGTTGAAGCTGTATCATCTGGATTTACAAATTCTCTATCAGCAGAAAGGAAGTCCCATGGCCTACGGGATGTTTCATTAGCTGGTCCTAGGGAAATTTGTTTTCTTGGGCCTCTTGGCTCCAGCCTACTGCATTCACATTGCTGACAAGGGGACAATTTCCAATTCAGGCATCAAATTTTTCCCCATCCTGCCTGGAGATACAGAACAGCTCTGTCACACATCAGGCAGCATCGGAATGAAGATGGAGGTAGTGTTAACTGAAATAGTTTGGGCTAAAATGAAATCTCAAATTGTGATCTTGCATGAAAACACCTTTTTCAATTAGGCATAAGTTACACAACTGTGAGTCCAGATCTAGTTTGCAGAGTTTCTCACTTCTCTCGATAAGGAAGGTATGGTGCTGGGGAGAGGGGAGCATGCTTTGGTTTGCTAAATCCCTGATGAGTGTCCAACACATCCTTCCCTTGGCCTCTGGCATCTCATTCCCTGAGATGTAAACACCATGAGGCTTCTGTCAAGATTCCTTCAGATGTTAGTATGATTTTCCTAAGAGTAGCAGTACCTGAAAGAAAGAAAGAAACAAAGCAAAATGAATTAATTACGTGTAAATTACTGCAATGTAGCATTCTGCTTGCTTTGTAGACATGCTGGGCAATGTCAATTCAATCAGTATTTGCAATGTAAGCCATCCTCAAGTAGCCCTTCCAAAGCAGTTCACATGAAGGCTGCTCTTGTAAAAGTCTCCTTTTGTGTCCCCAGGAGGCATGGGCACTGCTGATTTCCCTCTCCAGAGAGTGGCAGAGGCTGGATCCCCTTCTCACGACAGACTCCTTGCCAGGAAGACACAGGCATGGAGGTAGCTCACCTGGTTTACACTGGCAATTCACTCAATATCTCTTTTGGTGTACTCGTTTTTCTTTGACAAGTCTTAAAAACAGTGAAGAATCAGAAAAAAAAAAAAAATAAAAAAATAAAAAGAACTAATAGAAGTTAATCATCAAGGCAGGGAGGTTGGAACTAGATGATCTGTAAAGGTCCCTTCCAATCCAAACCATTCTGTGATTCTGTGATTTTATGACAAGCACCAACTTAAAATGTTGCCTGTGCTGTAGAGGAGCTCCATATATGTGAGACACATTAAACAGGCCATGCCTCACTCCCCATCTTCCCGGTCAGTCACAGAATCATAGAATCATTTAGGTTGGAACATATTCTTAAGGTCATCAAATCCAGCCATTAAACTAACACTGCCAAGCCCACCACTAAACATGGTCCCTATGTGCCATATCTACATGTCTTTTAAACACCTCCAACAATGGTGACACAACTACTTTCATGGGCAGCCTTTTCCAATGCTTTATAACCCTTCCAGGAAAGAAATGTTTCCTCATATTCAATCTAAACCTCCCCTGGTGCAACTTGAGGCCATTTCCTCCTGTCCTTTCACTTGTTACATGGGAAAAGAAACTGGCCCAGACCTCACTGCAACCTCCTTTCAGGTAGTTGTACAGACCGATAAGGGTGCTCCTGAGCTTCCATTTCTAAACACCCCAGTTCTCACAGTTGCTCCTGATAAGACTTGTGCTCTAGACCCTTCACCTGCTTCATTACGCTTCTTGAGTCACACTGCAGCACCTCAATGTCTTTCTTGTAATGAGGGGCCCAAAACTGATCCCAGTATTCAAGGTGCGGCCTCACAGTGCCCAGTACAGAGGGATGATCACTGCCCTAATCCTGCTGGCCACAGCATTTCTGATACAAGGCAGGATGCTATTGGATTTCTTGACCACCTGGGCACTCTGTTTGCTCGTTTTCAACCAGCTGTTTACCATCACACCCAGGTTCTTTTCTGCTGGGCAGCTTTCCAGCCACTCTTCCCCCAGCCTGTAGATTTACATCAGGTTGTTGTGCCCAAAGTGCTGGCCCCAACACTGAGCCTTGCTGAAGCTCATACAATTGGCCTTTGCCCATCACTCCAGCCTGTCCAGACCCCTCTGTAGAGCCTTCCTAGATTGCAGCACATAAACACTCCCGCACAGCTTGGTGTTGCCTGCAAACTTACTGATGGTGGACTTGATCCCCTCATCCAGATCACTGATAAAGATATTAATGAAAACTGGCCCCAATATTGATCCCTGGGGAACAGCACTTGTGACCGGCCACCAGCTTGATTGAACTCCATTCACCACCACTCTTTGGGCCTGTCCAGATGCCCAAGTAAGGACCTTACAGTCTGGATGGATGGTTTGATGGTGGGGTTCAGAAGTTCATGGTGAATGAAGTTTTCTCTGCAGGCAGATCAGCAACACATGGAGTACTGCAAGTGTTCACCCTGGGATCTGTCCTGGCAAACATCTTTACCAAGGACATGGAAGAACTGAAAGAGTGCACTCTCACTAAGACTGAAGATGCCACTGAATTGTGGAAGTAAGGGTCAGTACACTGGAGGGCAGAGTTGCCATCCAGGGAGATCTAGAGAGGCTGAGATGTTGTGGATTAATCACAGTAGACTGCTTAGGCTCACACAGCCACTCACTCACTCCTCCCCAGTGGGATGGGGGAGAAAATATGAAGGGTGAAAGTGAGAAAAATAATAGGTTGAGGTAAAGACAGTGAGAAAAATAATAGGTTGAGGTAAAGACAGTTTAATACATAAAACAAAGCTGTGTACAAGTGACAAGCACAATAAAGAAATTCATTCACTACTTCTCACAGGCATGCAGGTGTTCAGGCATCTCCAGGAAAGCAGGGCTTCATCGTTCACAGCGGTTATTTGGGAAGACCAGCGCTGTCACTACAAACATCTCCCCTTCCTGCTTCCCTGTAGTTTTTATTGCTGAGCACAATGTCATAGAGTATGGACTGTCCCTTTGGTCAGCTGAGGTCAGGTGTCCCAGTTGTGTCCGCTCCCAGCTTCTTGTACACCCCCAGACTACTTGCTGTCAGGGTAAGTTCCCCCCATTATGATGCCAGTGAGAGCAATCATTTCCTTGTCCCTTCCCATAGCCCCACCAAGACATAATCTCATAATATACAATTTGCAGGCTCCCCCAGTATCCAACACTTTACCAGCCCCAGCTGTGTCCCATGTGGGCATTCACAGACTGCCCTTCTCTGGGGTCTGCCAAGGTCTGGGCCAGAAAAGAGGCCAGGCAGGGACTGGCTGGTGCCCCCATACAGACACTGAGACCAGCAGGAGGATGGAGATGGTTTAGCAGCAACGCTCACCCATAAACCCGGGTGAGCAGCCAGTGCTGGAAATGACCAGCGAGATAGGCTGGGGGGTGCTGCAGAGCTCTGGGCACTCACCCCACAGCCCCAGCCCCTCGGAAGGTCACAGCAGCTCCTGGGGCACAGAGGGCTCTCAGCCTCCCCATCAGCCCCAGGGCTGGGGCCAGCCATGGCATGAGCAGACGCAGGCCAGCGTCTCCCTCTCTCTGCTGCTCTTCTCTCCAAGAGATCCTGATTGCCCAGTGCTGGCAGCCCCTCTGTGCCCGTCCCTCTCCCCAGCACAAGACTCCTGCACTGGGGGCTCCCCAGGCAGCTCCTGCTGTGCCAGCGAGAGAAAAGCTGCCCAAACTGGTGCCTCCAGAAATAGGTCTGCTCTTGTCGCGGGATGTCACCTCAGGCACGGCCCTGAGCTGGCGGTGCTGCTCTGCAGGGCAGTGGTGGCTGAAAGCCATGGGGAGATGGTCCCAGGGAGATCCCCATGGATCAGCCATCATTTCCATTGCACTGGGAACCCCCACGTGAAGGGGCAGCACAGGCCTATTCCCTAACACATCCCCCCATGCCCTCCTGCCCTGAACCCCTGGAGAACCCCAGCACAGCAGCACGCTCAGAGGGGCAATTCATTCAGCCTGTTCCTGACCTCAGCTTTGGAAGAAGAAACCAACCTCCAGACACCAGTACTAAGAAAATCCCCTTTTATTATGGTTATGTGGCATGGGAGGCCAGCTGTCCTACCAGACACACGCACAAAGGGCTCTGGGTCAGAGAGGCTGGTTCATGTCTCTGAGGAAGAAGAGTGACTGCATATATTTCTAGAAAAAAAAGATTTAGACAAATAAAATGATCAATGTACGGTAGGATTCAGAGATGAATTTGAAACAGTTCTGAAGAAAAAAGAAGCATTTTATTGTTTCAGAAAGGAAATTGACTGAATCAGCTTCTTCAGTGCATCCTTGATCCCCTGGTTCCTCATGCTGTAGATGAGGGGGTTCACTGCTGGAGGCACCACTGAGTACAGAAATGACACCACCAGGTCCAGGGATGGGGAGGAAATGGATGGGGGTTTCAGGTAGGCAAACATGCCAGTGCTGACAAACAGGGAGACCACAGCAAGGTGAGGGAGGCACGTGGAAAAGGCTTTGTGCCGTCCCTGCTCAGAGGGGATCCTTAACATGGCCCTAAAGATCTGCACATAGGACAGCACGATGAAAACAAAACACCCAAATCCTAAACAGACACTAACCACAAGGAGCCCAACTTCCCTGCGGTAGGAATCTGAGCAGGAGAGCTTGAGGATCTGGGGGATTTCACAGAAGAACTGGTCCACAGCAATCCCCTGGCAGAATGGTAGGGAAAATGTGTTGGCAGTGTGCAGGAGAGAATTGAGCAATGCAATGCCCCAGGCAGCTGCTGCCATGTGGACACAAGCTCTGCTGCTCAGGAGGGTCCCGTAGTGCAGGGGTTGGCAGATGGCAACGTAGCGGTCATAGGCCATGATGGTGAGAAGAGAAAACTCTGATGGTAACAAAAACAGAAACAGAAATACTTGTGCAGCACATCCCAAGTAAGAGATGTCCCTGGTGTCTGTTAGTAAATTTAACATGGCTTTGGGGAGAGTGGTGGAGATGGAGCCCAGGTCAAGGAGGGAGAGGTTGAGGAGGAAGAAGTACATGGGGGTGTGGAGGTGGTGGTCGCAGGCGATGGCGGTGATGATGAGGCTGTTGCCCAGGAGGGCAGCCAGGTAGATGCCCAGGAAGAGCCAGAAGTATAAGAGCTGCAGCTCCCGTGTGTCTGTGAATGCCAGGAGGAGGAAGTGGGTGATGGAGCTGTTATTTAACATTTGCTTTGTCTGGACATATGAGCCTGTTCAAGGAGGAAAGATGACAACACATTAGGGTATATTTCTCTTATAAATATCAACACCCTCTGTCCTTATCCCATCCCAGCCACTACATGGCACCCCACTTTTTTGAGATCTTCCTTCAGCTCTGTAGCTGGAGCTGTGGTAGGTGCTGGACAAGCATTTCATGAGGGGAAGGGTTTTTGCATGCTGTCTGCCAAGGAGTCAGCTCTTTGTGTGACTCTGTCAGAAAAACCTGCCCTAACCCAGAAGGGCTTGTCAGCCTTTGCTCTACCAGTGGTGAGGAATGGGGAAAGCAGAAGACAGGCTGAGAGGTTTTTCTGCTGCACTCAGGGAGAGCAGAGTGAGTCAAGTGAGGCAAGAGGATTTTCTGTGCCTTAGTGCAGAGTGAGGGCAGCTGGTCTGTCTTTCTGTCTTGTTCCCGTCTGCCCTGAATTGCACTTTTCTGAGTTCAAGGGTGATTACACTCCCATGTTACCCTGAAAATCAACCAGACACTGCTGAGAGCAGAGGGATCCTCTGCAGAGCACCAGATGACTCACCCTTTCCCCAAGTGTCAGCACCCCACTTTAGCCAATGACACCCACGGCTCACAGAGTCCCCTGGAAGCAGCAGACAGCTGGGATGGACACCCCAAGGAGAGAGCCAAGGGTCCGAACCACGGCAACTTCTTAAGGGAGAGCCAGCTCCTGGCCCAGCCTCACAGACTGCATTGCCCAGAGCTTCACGGCTTAGAGGAAAGCTGGGACACCTCATTGCTGGGAGCACATCTGCAGAGGAGGGCTCCCAAGCTCTGTGCCTGACTCTGCAGCTGGAACCCCCCTTCCCAGAGAGCTTGTCAGCAACACCAAGGGCATCTGAGCAAGGCAAGGAGAGGGACAAACGGGCTCTCAGGAAAGCCTTTCCCTTCGGCAGCTCTGCACAGCACCTCCCAGACAGCAGCAATGCAGGACAGTCGCCCTCAGGCCCTGCTCAGCAGGAACTGGGCCCCTGGCAGCAGAGATGCACTTCATCCCTTCTGCTGGGCTGCTGGGCCAGGAGGTGACTAACGGCCAGGAGCCACGGGCTAAGGGCTGTGCTGGGTGGCAGAGGAGACAAGAGGAGTGTTGCTCAGGGAAGGAGTCTGCCCTGCAGCAGGGTTTCCCTTAGCATTTCCCTCCCTCCCTGCCCAGGTCTCCACTGCCTCGAGCTGACCAGGCTGGAAGTTCTGTCTTTGAGCCCATGTTTCCTCCCTGCCAGTGCTCACAGTCCCCATCCCAGCCCCTGTGAGCACAGCTCTGTTCTGCAGCCTCTCTGTGTGTACAGGGCTTAAAGCACTGCCCACCCAAACCTGATGAAAATGGAAAGGTGACGCTGATCTGATCTGTAGGCTGGTGGGGTGAGAAGGCACTTGCTGAGGTTCCCAGTAATTCTCACTGTGACAGCTTAAGAATCTCAGCCCCTGCTCTCATCTCCACAACTGTCAGTGATAGAAAAGTGGAGGCCACAGCAAAGTAGAAGCAGAGAGTCCAGAACAAAGAGACAAACAGAATATCCCTGAGATGAAAGTACTTGTGACAAATTCCCTGTGAAATGAGCTGGGCATGAGTTGGAGCTGTGAGCATCCCTGATCCACGCAGCAGCAGCCTCTGGAGAGCAGAAGGATCCTGCCCTGGCAGGGGTCTCTCCTTCCCCCCACAGCTTCTCCCCACAGTGCCGTGGGGAGCTCCCCGGGCAGGCTGAGTGCTGACCCTGGCAGGCGGCAGAGTCCCTGCCCCAGCACACAGCCCCCTGGGGTGCAGGGACCCTGCTGGGAAGGACAGCCCTGGGCACCCCTGCCTGCACACCCGGCTGCACACCCCTGCAGCCGGCCCCACCAGAAGGCAGCCCTTGTGTCCTGGCCCTCGCAGGGGGCACCAGGGAAGCCCTGCTTGGGAGCAGCTCCTCCTCCTCCTCCTCCTCCTCCTCCTCCTCCTCCTCCTCCTCCTCCTCCTCCTCCTCCTCCTCCTCCTCCTCCTCCTCCTCCTCCTCCTCCTCCTCCTCCTCTTCCTCCTCCTCCTCCTCCTCTAGGCAGGAGGCAGATTGCTGGCGGCTCTGCCGCCTTCCCCAGATCCCTCCCCGAGCTGCAGCTGCATTGCCCTGCACCCCCAGACTTACTGTGGCCAGGGCCCTGACGCTTTCTCCTCCTCGGAGCTCTCAGCAGCCTCCCAGCCCAGGCTGCCTTGAAGCTGTGTGTGCCTCGCTGCTCTGCCCTGGGTGCCTGCAGGCAGTGCCCCCAGCCCTGCTGCGCTTTGCAGAGGAGCTGCTCCTGGGCAGAGCTGTCTCTCTGCAGCGCTGCCCACTTGCCAGGAGCTCCCTTTGGCCCAGGAGCCCAACCCAGCTCAGCACCACAGCAACAGCCCAAGGTGCCACTTGCTGTGGCCCCTCTGGGATCCCTCCAGGTGTCCCTGGAACTCCAGGGGAACCTGCTGTGACAGAGCCTGATGCAATCAGTGGTTTTCCTTTCATCATCTCTAGAGAGACACTTATTTTTATCAGAAGCATTTCTTATATCAGGAAAAAAATTAGCTCCAAAAATCATATTTTCTTGTCCCATCTTTAGACTGGACAGACAGACAGGGTTCTCCTTTACTCCTGCTGAGGAGAGGATTCAGCTGAGTCTAGTCAAAGCATGTCATCCTGGGTTTGATATCCTGGGACTGAATGGAGACTCAGCTCCCTGACATGCCTGCCACAACGCTTTAAATACATGGGATTCCTTTTACCTCTCTTCACATTATCATTAAACGGGTATCTGCAGGTGAGTTTCTTGGCTCAGCTCCCATGGTGATAAATGAAGAGAGGAGGCCAGGAGTGAGCTGTTGAGATACAAATGTCTGGTGACAGCTGAGGTGTCAGGGGTGGCTGAAGTCATGGGCAGGTACCTGCAAACTCAGATGGAGCAGTTCACAGAGACAGCAGGGCAGCACCTGTGAGCATCTTCTTGGAAGCTGCTGGGAATTGCCTTTGGCCAACTGAAATGACAGCTGATGCCCAAAATAAGGGCAACTGCAACTGTCCCTTCTCATTAAGTTCAGGGCTGTTTGTAGTTATTCATCTGAACAATTTGATTCGTGTCATAGGGAGAGCTCAGTCTCCCTATTCTCCTTCTGCTGTATTTACTAGATGGCCACTGACTAATTTGGCAGTGGTTTCATGTTCATCCCCACATTGCCTTACCAAATCCAGGGTATCTCCTCAATCTCATGTCCAAATCCAGGACCACAGAGCAATGTGAGATGTCAGGGCTGGCAGGGCCAGCCCAGGACATAAAGGAAAGCAATTCTCATTCATGGTAGGTGCACGACAGACACCCCTGATGGCATCACAGGGAGGGCGATTTGCTGCCCGTGTGCCATTGACTGATGCCATCATCCAGAGGCATCAGCCATCAGATGCCCTCAGAGAAGCAAGGATTGTCCCTTCTCTACCCAATAGCCAATGGCATGACGTGAGCACAGATCCCCCGACAGAGGTGTCTCTACTCACTCCCTTGAGGATTCAATCAAGGAACAGACCAATCATTTTCATAGTGTGCTTGGATACATCTTGTCTGCAAGGACAGCATCCTTCAATTGTAAAAACTCAATTGAAAGTGAAAAGGGAATGCAATGGGAACCAAGATGAGCTGTTGCTATACCCGGAATTGTTAAAGAAGAAAATGAGAGAATGTGGGATTCTTGATGAATTTAGTAAGAGTAGGTGTATATAGAGTTATATCCTCTTTGCCTCAGTTACCACCAATGAGTTCCCTCAGGCCTCTGAGCCTTTAGACAAGTCTCTGGAAAGGAAGATCCAGCAGTGGATGGGTATTAAGCCACGGGTGACCTTAGCAAACTGCATCTTTACCAGTCCCTGGGACTGAAAGGGTTGTGTCCAAGGGTGCTGGTCAACAAGACCAGCTCATGTGGGCGGCTGATCACAGCCACCCCCAGCAGTGGGCATTCCTCATCTGCCAGGCTGAGCTGTGCACAAAAGGTGGAAATGTCTGTATCATCTGTGATTGGTGCAGGAGGGGCCTTCTTTCTTGCTGTATTCTCATGTTAAACTTCTTCCTCCTCTTCTACCTGCAGACATCCACTGCTTTCCATTTCTGGGCTCAGATAGAGTTACAAGGATTTGCTAAATCTGACAGCTATTGGCTTGTTTCTCACTGACATCCCCCTGACCCTCTCTGCCATACCTACAACCAGACAGACACTGCTATTCAGGGACACTCACACTTCAGAAGAGGCCTTGGGCTTCCTTGATCTTCCTGGTGATTCTTATAGTTTTCCTCAGTCCCTCCAGAGCTCATGGTGAGCTTCCTTGGCCATAACATGGATTTTATGACCATTTCTTATGAAATAATTGTCTTTTAATGATTGTCTGTCCTTAAAATGTAGTCACAGAAAAGCACCAATTATATCAAAATGGATACTGAGTGAACTGACAGTGAGAACCAGGTGAGCTATCCCCATGCCTGAGGCTCTCTGGCAAGGAGCCTGACCTGAGAAGGAGATGCAGCCTCTGCCACTCTCTGGAGAGGGAATTCAGCAGTGTCTATGCCACCTGGGGACACAAAATGGTGTGGTAAGATTTCTTGGGGATCAGGGACATGCACGGATCTTACAGGGTTTGGACAATCCAGGCTGGGTCTCTGAGCAGAAAACTGCCACGGGATAATCTTTCCTTTGACGTCACCTTGAAAGGCAAGAATGAGGAAGTCAAGCTAGTGCTTCCTTCCTGTTGAATGCCCGGATACACTGACCGCAAAGTAGATTTAGTTTGTGCACGCGTACTAACGATGCAGACCTATCACAGCACTTCCGGGGGCGTGATAAGTGCTTTAGCCAAAAGATTGTAAAGCATAGAGCACGTGACCATCTGGCTCTGTATATCTTGGTGCTATTCGGGCAAATAAAGGAGAACGACTTTCATTGCATCGGTGTGGTGTCTTAACTCGGGTCTTGTCTCCATAT